AAAGTTTATATTCTTGATTAATAAAATCTCAATTCGTTTGTAGTTTTATTGATTATTTTTGTCTCTCATAAACTCTTATCTTATTTAGTTTGAAAGAAATAGAAAAAAATAGAGAAAAAATTGATATTATTTCAAACAATTATATTAAGTTATTAGGCCAATGAAATAATTTAATCAGTTATAATAACTTTTTTCCACCTTCCTCTCCACATCCCTTCCTTTCTCTCAAACTAAATAGGTAATTAAGCTGCTAACGATTTGTAGGTTGAAAACCTAAATGTCTTGAAAGATAACACGTTTTCAGTACAACATGTATATCACAATATCTTACCAAATGTTTTCATATGATATTCCGAGTTACTAGCAAAACGATATGTATATCTACACATTTGAAAAATCTCAACATCGAACTGTTTTTGTATGGCACCATAAAAATTTCTAGCACAATATAAGAAAAGGTACTCATTAATATATTTTTTAATTTAACACATTATATAATATATTTATTAAAAAATTATTTTTTTACATAAAATTTAAAATAATATTAAAAATATAATTATACATATAATATATAAAAATTTATATCAAAAAATAATATAAAAAAATTGTCCCAACATTATTTTTCTATTGTTTATGGTTGGGTTGATTGCCTCTCAAATCTCTATTGGAAAAATTTTTTTTTTTTTTGGATGAGATCAATTAGGATATTATTATAATTACAAGTGGGAAACTTGCCTTCTCTTTATTTTTCGCGTCCAATGCAGATACATATCTTCTAGATTTTATCACGTTGGAGCCGGAGGCGCATGAACCTTCAGACTTAAGAAAAGGGGAAAAAAACTTTTGTGCGAGTGAAATGTGCACCTAATGTCCTAATCTCATAGTAAACTATTTTTTCTTATATTTTTTATTAAAAAATAATTAAGAGACCATTATTATTATATAATTTTACATGTTATTTAAATAATAATATTTAATTATAATGTTATATAGGATAATAAATTTATAATCATATATAATATTAAATGAAATATAATGTGATATTAAACGAGTAAATATATAATATCATGAGTGAATTATTAAATAAAAAAAGTTAATTATGTAACAATATATTATATTATAAATTTATAATATCATATGGTATTATAATTAAATATTTTTATTATTTAAAAATTAATTATTTTTATTTTACTAAAATTTATAATATTATATGTATCAATTTATTTAGTAATATATAAAAATCATACAAATAAATTGTTCGATATATTATTTTATCCGTTCTCATTATTATTCTATCACTGTATTTAATGATTTAAATCATAAACTGGACTAAGAAAGGGTTTTTCTAGAGCACTAGTGCGGTACGGGACTCGGCGTGTATTTTATGGAGTCCAGACTCCAGACCCAATATTTTGGGCCGTAAAAGGGTCTTACCATCTCTTGCTCAAGGAATTTGGACCATGATGAAGGATTAGTGTTGGGCATTTTTTTTCGGCCATTAATGAAGGCATTGGGCTGCCAAAGTGCCAAGTAGCATTCTGCTGTTCTTTCCGTTCCATAGGAGCAAAAGTAGCCCAATCCTTTCATTAACCTCATATATATATATATATATATATATATATAT